GTAGGGCTTCGACCGGTAATGGCACCTCGGATTTCATGGGGATCAAAGTAATGAGGGCCGATAGTGTAGGCCCCCTGAGGGATAGATGCGGCGGTTACCCGCGGGAATTGAGAGATGAGTGACTCGAAAGTGTCACTCTCCTGGATCCGGAAGTGGGATCGAGGTGGGGGTGGAGGAATTTCCTCTAGGAATTCCACGCTGTCCGTGGAGTTCGTTGGAGATGGGCTTCTGGGGGGAGTTGGGTGGAACGAATCAGATGGTTGTGGTGGAGTATCGGGAAATATTCCCTCTGTTAGGGCGTCCGAAAACGCAGGTGAAGGAGTTCGAGGGGGAGGAGAGGGAGGTGCCTGAGGTAGTGAAGGCGAAGGTGTTCGGAGCGGAAGCGGTATTGGGGGAGCGGTATCGGGGTGATTTGCCGGCGGAGCCGGTGGTGACCCGGATGGTACTGGTGGTGGCGACCTTCGACCGGACGATTCTGCTCTTGTGAGCTCCCGAGATACCTCTTGAACTCTTCGTCCAAGAGCTTCCGTGCCTCCCGATAGGCCCGGCTTCGTAGCCACCCTTTGAAAGGACGGTTCGGACGCGGCACTATAATTTGATGTAAATTATAGTGGTTGGGTTTTTTATATATAATATATACGCGGGTGAGTGTGTATGTGTGTATATGGGACTTACTATTGTTGTATTCTGCGGATGTGGGTAGGACTGGCAGTCGCAATCGTTGGCCTCAGGACCCCACGGAACGTTGGCACTCGGATGTGAAGGCTCCGATCGAGTCACTCTAACGCGAATCGCGAACTCGCAATTGCGGAGATGGAATTTGATTGACTGGCGCCTGCTGAGTGCCGAATGCCGAAAAAAGGTGCACTAATAACTCTCGAGTTCCGAAGGAGAGGTGACTAGTAACTCTCGAGTCCCGAAAAAGAAGTGACGCTCCTCGTGGAGGACCTCTCCTTTTATATGGCGAGTTAGTGACGCCGAGAGCGGAGTACGTGTACCGCTGAGTCACTCCAGGATTAGGGATATTGTTTATAACTTTCGTCATCGACCGTTTCTCGAGTGTCTAATAGATGCGAGCTACATGTCATTTGTTGCTCACACCCGCTGTTTCATTTTACAAAGCCTAGTCTGTCCGTTTCTCGAGTGTCTAATAGATGCGAGCCACATGTCATTTGTTGCTCACACCCGCTGTTTCATTTTACAAAGCCTAGTTTGTTTGTTCTTAAGTTTCGCCTATCTGGCCCTTGGTTTCAATATCAACCCAACGGTTCTGTCCCGAGTGGTTTATTAGTTAAAAACTGAGCATTTATTGTTCTCAGCTCTTATTTCATTTTATAGTCCTCGAGATAAGGTTTGTCTATTTGGTTCAAATATCTAACTCAACGGTTCAGTCCCGGATGGGTTGTTAGTTTAAAACGAGCATTTATTGCTCTCAGCTCCTATTTCAAGTGGTTTACTGCTCACTAATTCTTTGTGATGACGAAAGTTTCTTGTCGAAGAAAAGAACTGTGGAGTCTGGACGTAACAAAATTACTAATTTAATATTTGAGGTATACACATAATATTAAATTATTTTCCTTTTATGAGACACAAATCGACACAGTTTAATACACTCGAACACAGTTTACTACATTTAAATGAACGCGATGCAGTGTGTATGCGAACTTTTAATATCTAATTTTTTAAAAGATTTTAGTCAAAAAAGACAGAACAAAATGATAGGATTGTATATACATTCTATTAGGAGTATAAATAAGTTTTCGCCGCTTTTTATCAAAAATTGGGCATTTATTGTAAAAGAACGGTACCTAATGTTTTATTCGAAGTATTGACCATCGCTTTTTCCCATCTTTCTGGCAGCATACGGATACCGCGTCGGAAAAACGCTTCATCTTTTGAAGCTATCCACGAATCGACCCAATTTTTGGTATCTTCATATGATGTGAAGTGTTGCTCAGACAGGCCATGCGCTATCGATTGAAACAGGTAGTAATCAGAAGGAGCAATGTCTGGTGAATACGGCGGGTGGGGTAAAACTTCCCAATTGAGTGTTTCCAAGTAGGTTTTGACCGGCGCTGCAACATGTGGACGAGCATTATCATGCAGAAGAATAACTTTGTCGTGTCTGGAGTAGTAGTGGGCGCGTTTTTCCTTGAGTGCTCGGCTCAATCTCATCAATTGTGTTCGGTAGAGAGCCCCAGTAATGGTTTCGTTCGGTTTGAGCAACTCATAATAAACGACACCTAGCTGATCCCACCAAATACACGGTGCACAAAACCCTATCGTTTATGCTTGGCAAGCAGCATTTCACATGTGAAAAATCGGCGTTCAACATTTCTCGGCTTCAGTTGGGTTCATATGGAACCCAATTTCCTTACTTTTGAATCATTCCCAACGATTTTAAGCGATGTGAAATTGCTGGTTGAGTCACTCCTAATGTAAGTACAAGTGCTTCTTGCGTTTGGCATGCTTCTTTGCGTTTTGGCACGAATCTTCATCCAATAATGCTTCCAATTCCGCGTCTTCGTACA